TCGACCGTTCTCCCCCATCTCATTCCTTGCTGTCTAAATAAAGCTTCATAAATACTTAAGGAAGCTTTCAAGAACAACAACAGCTCGTCTCTCTGTAAGACTCGTTATATTGTCTCTATAAGACTTGGCCGGGCCGCAGGTGGGCCAGTTAAATCATGCCTCGCTCTCTCTCCTGTTGTGTAACTGTGCACACATTTTTGTCCTAGCGAATTTACAAGCACTCATTCCATCCACATCATCAAGTACGTTCAAAGCCATAGAAAGAGAGTCTCTGTGACTTTAAGTACGTCTAAGTAAAAATTTGATGGGACCACAGAGGTGTGGATAAATGATATAATGTGTTTTTATGGATGCTTGTGGTGATGGTGGTTGTATTGGCATACTTATGGCCAATTTGTAAGTCGCTCTGGATAAGAGCGTCTGCTAAACGACGTAAATGTAGTTATAGCCAGCGCATCTCTCCTTAATCTCACTCTGTCACACGAAGCAAACAGTTAAGCTGACATTTTATTACAATATTATGATGGAATTTAGTTGTTTACTTGTTAAAAACAAAAATCTATACACCCTGTCTCTTGCTCAATACACCCTGTCTCTTGCTCAATACACCCTGTCTCTTGCTCAATACACCCTGTCTCTTGCTCAATACACCCTGTCTCTTGCTCAATACACCCTGTCTCTTGCTCAATACACCCTGTCTCTTGCTCAATACACCCTGTCTCTTGCTCAATACACCCTGTCTCTTGCTCAATACACCCTGTCTCTTTCTCAATACACCCTGTCTCTTGCTCAATACACCCTGTCTCTTGCTCAATACACCCTGTCTCTTGCTCAATACACCCTGTCTCTTGCTCAATACACCCTGTCTCTTTCTCAATACACCCTGTCTCTTGCTCAATACACCCTGTCTCCTGCTCAATACACCCTGTCTCTTTCTCAATACACCCTGTCTCTTGCTCAATACACCCTGTCTCTTGCTCAATACACCCTGTCTCTTGCTCAATACACCCTGTCTCTTTCTCAATACACCCTGTCTCTTGCTCAATACACCCTGTCTCTTGCTCAATACACCCTGTCTCTTGCTCAATACACCCTGTCTCTTTCTCAATACACCCTGTCTCTTTCTCAATACACCCTGTCTCTTGCTCAATACACCCTGTCTCTTTCTCAATACACCCTGTATCTTGCTCAACACACCTTGTCTCTTGCTCAATACACCCTGTCTCTTCAATGAGTTTTTCCTTTTGATCACACCAACCAAAAAACGACATTACTAGACGACGTTTTATTACTTGAATATTTACTCATTTTTTATATATATATATATATATTTGTTTTGTTTTTTTAAATGATGTCCATGAGCTTATGACTAATTGGCTACAATGTGTTGATTCATAGTGGCCTGACAAGACAAGAGTGTGATGGTCACGCATTAGTACCGTGTCACACAGCTTCTCTGGAAATAACCATCTGGTTTAGCCAATCAGGGGGCTGGAAATAACCATCTGGTTTAGACCCTCAGGGGGCTGTCAGCACAGTAGGCTCACAACACCACACAACCAAGCAGGAAAACGTCTTTAACTCTGCAAAACTGAAGTAATTACTGCAGTATTTACATATAGAGGATTTATGTTCTGTATCAGATCACCATGACGGCTTGTTTCAACTGTGACCACAACTTTGTAATGAATGTAATCAAATCACTAAGACAATATTCCTCATTCGTACACTGAGCAAAAATATGAATGCAACATGCAACAATTTCAAAGCTTTTACTGAGTTACTATTCATATAAGGAAACCATTCAATTGAAATAAATTCATTAGGCCGTAATCTATGGATCAGAAAACCAGTCAGTACCTGGTGTGACCACCATTTGCCTCATGCAGCGCGACACATGTCCTTTGCATAGAGTTGATCAGGCTGTTGATTGTGGCCTTTGGAATGTTGTCCCACTCCTTTTCAATGGCTGTGCGATGTTGCTGGATATTGGCGGGAACTGGTACACTCTGTCGTACAAGTCGATCCAGAGCATCCCAAACATGCTCAATGGGTGACATGTCTGGTGGGTATGGAAGAACTGGGACATTTTCAGCTTCCAGGAATTGTGTACAGATCCTTGTGACATGGGGCCATGCAATATCATGCTGAAACATGAGGTGATGGCGGTGGATGAATGGCACGACAATGGGCCTCAGGATCTCGTCAAGGTATCTCTGTGCATTCAAATTTCCATCGATAAAAAATGCTATTGTGTTCTTTGTCTGACAAAACTGCACATTTTAGAGTGGCCTTTTAATGTCCCCAGCACAAGGTGCACCTGTGTAATGATCACACTGTTTAATCAGCTTCTTGTTATACCACACCTGTCAGGTGGATGGACTATCTTGGCAAATGAGAAATGCTCAATAACAGGGATGTAAACAAATTTGTGCACAGAAATTGAGAGAAATAAGCTTTTTTGTCCGTATGGAACATTTCTGGGGATCTTTTATTTCAGCTCATGAAACATGGGACCAACACTTTACATGTTGCGTTTATATTTTTGTTCAGTGTAAATAAATGACACTGAAAAATAAGAACAACAAAAGATGACACTTAACAAATATAATTCATTGTATTCATGTAAAACTCATCTGAAATACCATATATGGACAATAAGTATAATCAGAGGACATGCAGTACAATACATTGCAGAACAACACGATATAACCAGGAAGGAAAACGTCTTTAAAGTGTAAAACTGGAGTATTTACATATAGAGGATTTATGTCCTGTATCAAGATCACCATGACGACTTGTTTTCACTATGACAACAACTTTGTAATTAACGTTTATCAAATCAATAACTCAATACGTGTCATTCATACATCAATTATACTGTCATTTGGTATCCCAAAGAAATGTACTTGTTTTTGCAAGTAAAAAAAAAAAAAAACTCTTAATTTATTTTGGAGTCAACAACAAAAAAAATAAAAAAAGAAGTGTTGAATAGTTCTATAAACGTTCATATTCAGGTGAGAAGTGCGTCGTATTGTATATGATAGAGAGATGATATCAGACAACTAGTAAATGACCGTAATAAGAAGGTTTTAACACAATATAATTCATTGTATTAATGTAAAACTCATCTGAATACAGATAGTACAGGCTAAAACTGCAGACGAACTGTATACAAGGTAGAGTGAAAAAATACAAGCTGTGAATATGAACGAGTTAATGTGTGTTTTTAAGTAGTGTGTGTGTGTGTAGGACAATTCTTCATCATATGTTATGCTACAAGTGATATATATTCATTCAATATACTTCATTATTTGCTTACTTTACTTGACATTAAAACATAACCCTGCAAAACCCCTTTCCCTTGGATGGTCTAATTGGCCTTCAATATCCACCGCCATCTCCTCTTCAAAAAATTTTCCTGATCTCAAATCAATACCATAATTATACTCCAGTTCTCGTAAATTAATCTTCCACTTCCTCACTCAGCAAGAGTCCCGATGGCTCTTAGCAAATACCAACAAAAAAAACTCTATAGCACATGTTGTAATGTGCAATGACAATAAAAAAACACTACTGCAAAAAACACACTGACTTCTTTGATCAGTATGTTTGACTAACGAGAACACAACATGGTTTTCCGACAATCTCCATGGCAACCACCCCCTGGAACCCTCTGTCCCGCCCTCCCTCCCTCCCCGCCTCCCTATTTAAATACATTTTCTGTGTATTTGAGTATTTTCAAATACACAGCTCATCGCAAGTAGTTTTATTTGAGTATTTTAATGGTTATTTCTCAAAAACCAAATAGTGGTCATAGGTCAAATCTATGCTACACGACCCTGGCAGACCCACATTAAAAAATATTACAGTTGACTATAGAATACTTCAGTACTTACTATATAATTCTATAGTAAATTGTAGTATACAGTAGAATACTATACTGCACACAGTAGTATCCCTCGATCATTTGTAGTACTTACTATAGAATGTTGTAGTTTGCTGTAGAATACTATATTAAATTCTACAGTATTATACACAGAAAATACTGTAGTAAATTCTACGGTAATGTCCGCAAAAACACTACAGTCCGCAAAAACACGAAACTTTCTTAACTATAGTAAATAGTACAGTATTTAGTTTGCATATACCCATTCCCCTCCCCCATGCCACAATGTTTCCATCCATAAGTGAGAAACCTACATGCCAACTATAGACCATCTATCGTGTTCCCTACAGGTTATAGAAAGAGCAGAAGCTCTGTCCTATCCGTTCAGACCCCAGTCCTACCTACCTACCTACCTACCTACCTACCTACCTACCTACCTACCTACCTACCTACCTACCTACCTACCTACCTACCTACCTACTTACTTACAGGTTATGGAAAATTGGCTCTTTTAGTATTTCTCCAGTAGGTTTCCTGAAGGAGAAATCCTACACTTCTATGTCAAAGATAATACAACTAAATACTACAGTGATGTCTGCAGAAACACTATAGTAAATAAGCTTTACTACAGTGTATCAAAAATCCCCCCAAAACACTACACTAGATACTACAGTATACTACAGTCTGCAGTAGAGCTCGAAGTAGAAAATACTCTAGATGGAAGTGGTTACAGTCCTTTGGATACTTCCATTATTTAAAAAAAAAATCTCGATCCATTCTCAGAGTAGCTCGGCTGTCCTTAGATAACGATTCAGCGAACACTTGGCTACGTCAGGATCAGTGATTCAGAACACTGTTTCTTTAGTGACGGTGGAGCAGTTAGTCAGTTGGCTAATCCATTCATCCATCCACTAACACGCAGCGCCACTTCTGTCCCCTGGAAAGATAACAGTGTGGTTCGGCTACTTTAGCTTCACTAATGCATAAACGCTAAAGTTCGTCAAAGATAGCAGAACGAAAAAAAAAACAGTTTACTGTGGTAGTCTTATTGGGATCAACAGACGCCCCACACATTCACGCACACAGTATGTGAGTGGCAATATCTGTATTATTAGACGACCGTGCAGCGGTAGTTGGAGTCGGTGGCCACGCTGGAGCCGTCTGTCTTGATCACAGTGGTCTTGGAGGAGTTCTGCTGCGAGCTCCTCAACTCCTTCCTGTGACAGAGACGCTCGCGGTAGTTCTGAGCGAAGATGAGCAGCATCAGAGGGTTGATGCAGCTGTGGGAGTAACTCAGACAGATGCTGATGTTGTAGACATAGACAAAGGTGTTGGTTGGCCTGTTGTTGCTCAAGTTAATCACCTGGATCACGTGATACGGGCTCCAGCACACCAGGAAGAGAGCGATGACCATCACCACGGTCTTGGTGGCGCGCTTCGCCCAGACAGACTGTTTACGCTTGACTCGGCGGATGGATCTGAAGACGTGGAAGAGGGTGAGGGAGTAGAAGGTGGAGATGATGATGAGAGGGAGGATGAAGCCCAGGATGGACTGGTAGAGAGTGTACCAGTACATGTCCTCAGGCCCGTCCAGGAGCATCATGCACATCTGCAGGTCGCTCTTCCTCACCACCACGGCGTAGATCATGACGGGCACGGTGAGCAGGACGCTGCCGACCCACACCAGGATGTTGATGACGATGGTCCACTGGATGGTCCGCTTCTCTGAGGTGGGGTGGACGATGGCAATGTATCTAGAAACAAAGAGACACATCAGTTAGAGACCAGGGGTTATCGGTCAGAGGTCAGGGGTCAGGGGTCAGGGGTCAGGGGTCAGGGGTCAGGGGTCAGGTGTTAGGTGTTAGGTATTTCTGTTTTTTATTTTTAATACATTTGCTAAAATTCCTAAAAACCTGTTTTCGCTTTGTCATTATGGGGTATTGTGTGTAGATTGCTGAGGAAAAAATATATATTAAATCCATTTTTAGAATAAGGCTGTAAGTTAACAAAATGTGGAAAAAGTCAAGGGGTCTGAATACTTTCCGAAGGCACTGTATCTCTATAGGGATCATTCAGGAGACTCCATTGTGAGGCATTTTTTTTTTTTTTTCTTCTTCAGTAACACCCATCACTTTCCCCCAGTCCAGTCTAGTCCAGACAGAGGCATGTGAATGCCATGTGAATATACAGACAGAAAAATACCATAACTAAATAGTATTTGTCTGCCGGTATTTGTTATCCCAAGAAAAGCAAAACAGTAACGAGTTAACCTGGAATTAAAACGCTCTGTTTGAATAACGCCTATTCATATTGTAACCTTTCTGAGAGCAAGTCAGGCTCTAATCTTGATGTGACATTAAATGAATATAATAATGTCATGTATGTGGATCAGTTGGTAAGAGCATGTCTGCATCCCAAAAGCACCCTTTTTCCCTACAGGCCCTGGTCAAAAGTAGTGCACTATATAGGGAATAGGATGCACACCATTGCGCTGGCATATGCCCAAGGTCATGGGTTCAATTCCTTCAAGGATCACATACACATACTAAGTGAATGAATGCACTCACTGCACTGTAGGTCGCTTTGGATACAAGCATCTGCAAAGTGGCGTACTGTATAATACTATAATATCATAACATTTTAGGATTAATTGAGCCGGGAGCTGAAAAAGTCACATATAAACTGTCATGAATAAGTAAACAAAGTTAGACTGACTGGCTTGTTGCTTGGTGTACAACACGAAATCAACCACGGCTACGTCCCAAATAGAACCCTATTCCCTAAATAGTGCACAATATTTGACCAGAGTCCTATGAGCCCTTGTCAAAGGTAGTGTGCACTACATAGGGAATAGGGTGCCATTTGGGATGCAATGAATCCTAAAATAAACGATCGGCGATACTGATTGTTGAACACATTTACTGCTAATGTTAAATCTAATCAAAGTAAAGTCTATAGCCATCTGCTGTACTGTGCTGTACTTAACCACCCTGTGTCATATGTCTATGAAAGAAGGAACAGAACCCTGCAGCCATTTGACGTCAGAGAAATAAAAAGGAAGAATTTGCTCTGCTCTGGTTATATCTTTCATGATACGGCTGAATACATGCAAGGCAGGCCAAGGGATGGAGATATCACTGTAGAGATGTCTTCATATGACTATGGAGATGTCTTCATATGACTATGGAGATATCACTGTAGAGATGTCTTCATATGACTATGGAGATATCACTGTAGAGATGTCTTCATATGACTATGGAGATATCACTGTAGAGATGTCTTCATATGACTATGGAGATATCACTGTAGAGATGTCTTCATATGACTATGGAGATATCACTGTAGAGATGTCTTCATATGGACCATGGAGATATCACTGTAGAGATGTCTTCATATGACTATGGAGATATCACTGTAGAGATGTCTTCATATGACTATGGAGATATCACTGTAGAGATGTCTTCATATGGACCATGGAGATATCACTGTAGAGATGTCTTCATATGGACCATGGAGATATCACTGTAGAGATGTCTTCATATGACTATGGAGATATCACTGTAGAGATGTCTTCATATGACTATGGAGATATCACTGTAGAGATGTCTTCATATGGACCATGGAGATATCACTATGGAGATGTCTTCATATGGACCATGGAGATATCACTGTAGAGATGTCTTCATATGACTATGGAGATATTACTGTAGAGATGTCTTCATATGACTATGGAGATATCACTGTAGAGATGTCTTCATATGGACCATGGAGATATCACTGTAGAGATGTCTTCATATGACTATGGAGATATCACTGTAGAGATGTCTTCATATGATGGCCAGAAAGTGGAGATACCAATGTAATGTATAGCCACATGACCCTGGGATGGCCATGTAAATATGGATGTATTGATGGCCAGAAAATGGTGCATATGACCTTCCTAACAAATCAAATCAAAGATTGTCACGTACACAGATTAGCACATGTTAAAGCCGGTGGAGCGAAATGCTTGTGTTTCTCAATGACTAGGGGAATCTGACTAGGGGAATCTGACTAGGGGAATCTGACTAGGGGAATCTGACTAGGGGAATCTGACTAGGGGAATCTAACTAGGTTATCTGACTAGGGGAATCTGACTAGGGGAATCTGACTAGGGGAATCTGACTAGGGGAATCTAACTAGGGGAATCTGACTAGGGGAATCTGACTAGGGGAATCTAACTAGGTTATCTGACTAGGGGAATCTGACTAGGGGAATCTGACTAGGGGAGTCTGACTAGGGGAATCTGACTAGGGGAATCTGACTAGGGGAATCTAACTAGGGGAATCTGACTAGGGGAGTCTGACTAGGGGAATCTAACTAGGTTATCTGACTAGGGGAATCTGACTAGGGGAGTCTGACTAGGGGAATCTGACTAGGGGAGTCTGACTAGGGGAATCTGACTAGGGGAATCTGACTAGGGGAATCTGACTAGGGGAATCTGACTAGGGGAATCTGACTAGGGGAATCTGACTAGGGGAGTCTGACTAGGGGAATCTAACTAGGGGAATCTGACTAGGGGAGTCTGACTAGGGGAATCTAACTAGGTTATCTGACTAGGGGAATCTGACTAGGGGAGTCTGACTAGGGGAATCTGACTAGGGGAATCTAACTAAGGGAATCTAATTAGGGGAGTCTGACTAGGGGAATCTGACTAGGGGAGACTGACTAGGGGAATCTGACTTGTGGAATCTGACTAGGGGAATCTGACTAGGTTATCTGACTAGGGGAATCTGACTAGGGGAATCTAATTAGGGGAGTCTGACTAGGGGAATCTGACTAGGGGAGACTGACTAGGGGAATCGGACTAGGGGAATCTGACTAGGGGAGACTGACTATGGGAATCTAACTAGGGGAGTCTGACTTGGGGAATCTAACTAGGGGAGTCTGACTAGGGGAATCTAACTAGGGGAATCTGACTAGGGGAATCTGACTAGGGGAATCTGACTAGGGGAGTCTGACTAGGGGAATCTAACTAGGGGAGTCTGACTAGGGGAGTCTGACTAGGGGAATCTGACTAGGGAGTCTGACTAGGGGAACTAACTAGGGGAATCTGACTAGGGGAATCTGACTAGGGGAGATCTGAACTAGGGGATCTGACTAGGGGAATCTGAACTAGGGGAGACTGACTAGGGGAATCTGACTAGGGGAATCTGACTAGGGGAATCTGACTAGGGGAACTGAACTAGGGGAATCTGACTAGGGGAATCTAACTAGGGGATCTGACTAGGGGAATCTGACTAGGGGAATCTGACTAGGGGAATCTGACTAGGGGACTGACTAGGGGAATCTGACTAGGGGAAGTCTGACTAGGGGAGACTGACTAGGGGATGAATAGGGGAATCTGACTAGGGGGACTGACTAGGGGAATCTGAGATAGGGGAATCTGACTAGGGGAATCTACTAGGGGATCGACTAGGGGATCTGACTAGGGGAATCTGACTAGGGGAATCTGACTAGGGGAACTGACTGGGGAGTCTGACTATGGGAGACTGACTAGGGAGCTGACTAGGGGAATCTGAACTAGGGTAGTCTGACTAGGGGAATCTGACTAGGGGAGTCTGACGTAGGGGAATCTGACTAGGGGAGTCTGACTAGGGGAATCTGACTAGGGGATCGACTAGGGGAATCTGACTTGGGGAATCTGACTAGGGGAATCTGACTAGGGGAAGTCTGACTAGGGAGATCTACTTGGGAATCTGACTAGGGGAGTCTGACTAGGGGAATCTAACTAGGAGTCTACTAGGGAATCTGACTAGGGGAGTCTGACTAGGGAATCTAAATAGGGGAGTCTACTAGGGGAATCTAACTAGGGGAGATCTGAAATGGGGAATCTGACTAGGGGAACTGACTAGGGGAATCTGAACTTGGGGAATCTGACTAGGGGAATCTGACTGGGGGTATCTGACTAGGGGAAGTCTGACTAGGGGAATCTAATAGGGAGTCTGACTAGGGGAATCGATGGGATGACTAGGGGAATCGACTAGGGGAATCTGACTAGGGGAGATGACTAGGTGAATCTAACTGGGGGATCTGACTGGGGAGAATCTGACTATGGGAATCTGACTGGGGGAATCTGACTAGGGGAGTCTGACTAGGGGAATCTAACTAGGGGAGTCTGACTAGGGGAATCTGACTAGGGGAATCTGACTAGGGGAATCTGACTAGGGGAATCTAACTGGGGGAATCTAACTGGGGGAATCTGACTAGGGGAATCTGACTAGGGGAATCTGACTAGGGGAATCTAACTAGGGGAGTCTGACTTGGGGAGACTAACTAGGGGATCTGACTAGGGGAATCTGACTAGGGGAGTCTGACTTGGGGAGTCTGACTAGGGGAATCTAACTAGGGGAATCTGACTAGGGGAATCTGACTAGGGGAATCTGACTAGGGGAGACTGACTAGGGGAGACTGACTAGGGGAATCTGACTAGGGGAGACTGACTAGGGGAATCTGACTAGGGGAGACTGACTAGGGGAATCTAACTAGGGGATCTGACTAGGGGAATCTGATTAGGGGAATCTAACTAGGGGAGACTGACTAGGGGAATCTGACTAGGGGAGACTGACTAGGGGAATCTGACTAGGGGAGTCTGACTAGGGGAATCTGACTAGGGGAGACTGACTAGGGGAATCTGACTAGGGGAGACTGACTAGGGGAATCTGACTAGGGGAGACTGACTAGGGGAATCTGACTAGGGGAGTCTGACTAGGGGAATCTCACTGGAAAAAAAAAAGGAGATGGCTGCCGTTTTACGTCCCTCTAACCAATTGTGATATTATGTGTGTTTTTTCACATTATTTGTAATTTATTCTGTACATAATGTTTCTGCCACTGTCTCTTATGACCAAAAAGAGCTTCTGGATATCAGGACAGCGATTACCCACCTCGTATTGGATGAAGATTTTTTCTTCCACAAGTCAGACGCAAAGGATATCCTACAGACACCCGACAAGGCCCAAATCCCCGTCATTCGCATGAGAAAGAGACAGAGATATCGTGGACGTAGGTCGGGGTGCCTTGTAAAGATCTGACGGCGAGCGAGTAATCTGCCTCTTCCATCAATCCTATTAGCCAATGTACAATCATTGGAAAACAAAATAGACGACCTAAGATCAAGAATGTCCTACCAACGGGACATTAAAAACTGTAATATCTTATGTTTCACCGAGTCGTGGCTGAACGACGACATGGATATCATACAGCTGGCGGGATATACGCTACATCGGCAGGATAGAACGGCTGACTCCGGTAAGACAAGGGGTGGTGGTCTGTGTATATTTGTAAACAACAGCTGGTGCATAAAATCAAATACTAAGGAAGTCTCAAAGTTTTGCTCGCCTCAGGTAGAGAACCTCATGATAAGCTGTAGACCACACTATCTACCAAGAGAGTTTTCATCTATATTTTTCGTAGCTGTCTATTTACCACCACAAACCAATGCTGGCACTAAGATTGCACTCAATGAGCTGTATAAGGCCGTAAGCTAACAGGAAAACGCTTATCCAGAGGCAGCGCTCCTAGTGGTCTGGGACTTTAATGCAGGGAAACTTAAATCTGTTCCACCTAATTTCTACCAGCATGTTAAATGTGCAACCAGAGGGAAAAAAACTCTAGACCACCTTTACTCCACACACAGAGGCGCATACAAAGCTCTCCCTCGCCCTCCATTTGGCAAATCTGACCATAATTATATCCTCCTGATTCCTGCTTATAAGCAAAAACTAAAGCAGGAAGCACCAGTGACTCGGTTAATAAGGAAGTGGTCAGACCGCAAGGCACTACAGAGGGTAGTGCGTACGGCCCAGTACATAACTGAGGCCAAGTTTTCTGCCATCCAGGACCTCTATACCAGGCGGTGTCAGAGGAAGGCCACCCTAGTCATAGACTGTTCTCTCTGCTACCGCACGGCAAGCGGTACCGGAGCGCCAAGTCTAGGTCCAAAAGGCTTCTTAACAGCTTCTACCACAAAGCCATAAGACTCCTGAACAGCTAATGATGGCTACCCGGACTATTTGCATTGTCGGTTCAGTAATACCCTAATGAAGAGCATTGACCAATTAACCTTGAATACATTGTTTATGTGTGGATATGGGTATTCAATCTGTTACCATCCATTTCATTATGAATTCATCAATCTCTACTTTCTGGGTTATTGACATGGTGTTGTAGTCTATTGTTTTATTGATATGCTGTCTGCTGTTAGCTCCACATTAGATCAGAAAATCACATATAGGTTTGGTTCTAGTAAACACACTTAAAGCCATTTTAGAAAAATCTAAAGTTCAACTCCAGCATGTAAAGTAGTTACAGTAAAAAACTGTAAAGGGATTACTGTGAATTTGGCAGTAGTTTACAGGCAGCTTTTGGCAAGTCAAATTCTGCATTTCATATTACAGGACACATACTGTAATATGAATGTGGCATCAAAGCAAGAACTGTGTAATTGCACACAGTACAATACCGTAAAATGTACTGTATTATACAAAAAAAAAAGTAATGCTACTGTAATCGGAATGAATTAATGGATGAATTAATTAAATTCATTGAGGGGAGGGGCTTGTATTTCACAGTATGCTGCTGTAATTACAAGGGATTGGTACAAGCAGGTTGCCTGCTAGCTAAAGGCTTTACACATTAAAGCATATTCATTAATGTTTGGTGTTTTATAGCACTTGCACTTCTAGATGCCTTTAACAATGGCTTCCAAACTGGCAACGGCTACAGGGAGAGAAAAAAAAAACAGACCAAATGGACATGGCAACATGCTCAACCATTTAAGTTTTAGACTTGCTGCCACTCCAATCTGTCCCCTATCCAAATTGATGGGGCACTATAACCACATAGGAGTTAAATTGCCGCAGAATTCTCAATCAGGGGTGAAAACAACTATAGCCTCTTACAAAGCACCCCTCAACATATGTTAATGAGCCGGAAACAACAATACCACAGCACCCACTAGTGGTCAAAAACGTTGTTGGCGCTCCAAAAATACAGTAAAGGGGAGCTTCTCCCGTTCCTCTCCGCAGATCCTCTCAAGATCTGTCAGGTTTGATGGGGAGCGTCGCTGCACAGCTGTTTTCAGGTCTCTCCAGAGATGTTGGATCGGGTTCAAGTCCGGACTCTGGCTGAGCCACTCAAGGACATTCAGAGACTTATCGCAAAGCCACTCCTGCGTTGTCTTGGCTGTGTGCTTAGGGTCGTAGTCCTGTTGGAAGGTGAACCTTCGCCCCAGTCTGGAGCAGGGTTTAATCAAGGATCTCTCTGTACTTTGCTCCCGTTCATCTTTCCCTCGACCCTGACTAGTCTCCCAGTCCCTGCCGCCGAAAAACATCCCCACTGCATGATGCTGCCACCACCATGCTTCACCGTAGGGATGGTGCCAGGGTTTCCTCAAGATGTGACGCTTGGCATTCAGGCCAAAGAGTTCAATCTTGGTTTCATCAGACCAGATAATCTTGTTTCTCATGGTCTGAGAGTCCTTTAGGTGCTTTTTGGCAAACTCCAAGCGGGCTGTCATGTGCCTTTTACTGAGGAGTGTCTTCCGTATGGCCACTACCATAAAGGCCTGATTGGTGGAGTGCTGCAGAGATGGTTGTCCTTCTGGAAGGTTCTCCCATCTCTACAAATGAACTCTGGAGCTCTGTCAGAGTGACCATTGGGTTCTTTGTCACCTCCCTGACCAAGGCCCTTCACCCCCGATTGCTCAGTTTGGCCGGGCGGCCAGCTCTAGGAAGAGTCTTGGTGGTTCCACAATTCTTCCATTTAAGAATTATGGAGGCCACTGTGTTTTTGGGGACCTTCAATGCTGCAGACATTTTTTGGTACCCTTCCCCAGATCTGTGCCTCGACACAATCCTGTCTCGGAGCTCTACAGACAATTCCTTTGACCTCATGGCTTGGATTTTGCTCTTACATGCACTGTCAACTGTGGGACCTTATACTATATAGACAGGTGTGTGCCTTTCCAAATCATGTCCAATCAATTGAATGTATCACAGGTGGACTCCAATCAAGTTGTAAAAACATCTCAAGGATGGTCAATGGAAACAGGATAAACCTGAGCTCAATTTCGACTCTCATTGCAAAGTGTCTGAATACTTATGTAAATAAGGTTTTTTAATTTTGTACAAAAAAAAAAAAAAAAAAAAAAAAAAAATTCTACAAACCTGTTTTCACTTTGTCATTATGGGGTATTGTGTGTAGATTGATGAGGATTTATTTTAAATGTAAGACATTTTATAAGGCTGTAACGTAACAACACGTGGAAAAAGGGGAATGGATCTGAATACTTTCCGAATGTTTTATTCAAATATTATATCCGTTTGCACTACTTGCGGTCAATCTGCTGTCTACAAATTAATGAGTAATTACGCTCCAGAACCCCTACCAGTTGTACTAGTTGCTGATCCCTGCTCTTGACCAGTGACCATGTCCTTATAATAAAAGGCTGCGTAGCAGTAATGTGTTCTTCTTAATAACTTATAGGTTCAAACTATGTTATAATCATATCCTACACAAGGTTATATTTACCTGGTTAAATAAAGGTAATAGTGGAGGAGCTAATTGATGCTATATTAGACACCTCTCTTTGTCATGATCAAACTGACACCTATTGAATTTGGAGAGATGGAGACTTACCTGTCGATACACAGCACCGTTACGATCCCCACGGTAGTGAACTGGTTGCTAACGTCCACCACCACGACAGCTTTGCACATGAAGTTCCCGAACACCCACTGTCTGTCTCGGACCAGCTGGTGAATGTTGAAGGGCATCACCAGCAAGAACAGCATATCTGCGATGGCCAAGTTCAGCACATAGATGTCCGAGACCATCTTCTTCTTGCATGTCGCCACTGCGTAAATCACCAAACCGTTGGCGATCACTCCTATCGTGCACAGGATGCCGTATATGGACGGGAAGATGTGCATAAAAGTCGCCAGGTCGACGAAGCTGTTTGAGGACCGAGTCGTGTTCACACATGACGAGTTGTTGGTGAAGTTACCTACTTCTTCGTAATTACAGAATATGTCCGAGCTATTCACAATCATCTTTAGATCTTCAGATATTTGCCGCTCTGGTCGGGATTGATAACGCGCGGGTCAGTATCAGGCTATAGATAAGCACCAACACTGCCAAGCCGAAAAAGTCATAATGTACTGGCTTCTATCCAAATATTCTAGCGGCACAACTTGGGCACGTCTTCTGGATAAACTGCAGCGCGCGTATCCTTTGGTTGACGCACTTCTTTAGATTGTCTTGTAATGGACTACAGCGCAAGTAAAGTCTGTGTTTCAATGAGATTCTGCTGAAGGATCGATCGTTCTCACCAAACTTGGGTACAAGCTGATGCCTAACGAACACATTATTCACTCAGGACTGGACCTCCCCGTGCGTCTCAGCTGCGCTCTCTCGCCACCCAATAGCGCACCTCATTTTCGTTGACTCAGTGAACGATAAGACAATCCGATAGTAGTCTCCTCCCTTCAAAATATCCCTCGTTTAACAAGTGATAAAACATCAATAAAGTTTACAGTGAGTAAATCCTACCACAAAAAAATGGTTGATCTTGTTTCTTGCTCTGAAAAACAGCTCATACATGCACCGTTGCGCATGTCAGAAGTAAATGGACTTGTGTCACGATGTTTTGATTACATGTCGCTCCATCCAGATGGACAACATCATTACAGCTAATTGTAATTATTTTGCACTATGGCCTATTTATTGCCTTCCCTCCATAACTTGCTACATTTGCACACACTGTATATATATTTTCTGTTGTATTTTTGACTTTATGTTTTTGTTTTACCCCATATGTAACTCTGTGTTGTTGTTTTTATCGCACTGCTTTGCTTTATCTTGGCCAGGTCGCAGTTGTAAATGAGAACTTGTTCTCAACTGGCTTACCTGGTTAAATAAAGGTGAAATAAATAAAAATAAATAAAAAATGACACACTGTTGTTTCGTAATAGCACGTAGGCCTTTTATATGTCAATCACATAATCACAGATTGGTTAATATACAGCCAATGATTAAATGAATAATCATTAAACATTTAGACATTATTTTAGTCAACAGATCCTTTAGTATGTTATAAATTAATTAGATCCTTGAGTATGTTATGCATGAAACAGATCCTTTCATTGGAGGCTCCTTAGCGGAGGAAGTGGAGGACCATCCTCCTCAGTGAATTTCATACAAATAGATTTTATTAAACATTACATAAAACTATTATAAATATTATCACATCACCAAATAATTGATTAAAACACAATATTTTGCAACGAAGGTCTACAGTAGCCTAAACAGCACTCTGTAGGGTAGCACCATGGTGTAGCCGGAGGACAGCTAGCTTCCGTTCTCCTCTGGATACAGTGAGGGAAAAAAGTATTTGATCCCCTGCTGATTTTGTACGTTTGCCCACTGACAAAGAAATGATCAGTCTATAATTTTAATGGTATGTTTATTTGAACAGTGAGAGACAGAATAACAACAAAAAAATCCAGAAAAACGCATGTCAAAAATGTTATAAATTGATTTGCATTTTAATGAGGGAAATAAGTATTTGACCCTCTCTCAATCAGAAAGATTTCTGGCTCCCAGGTGTCTTTTATACAGGTAACAAGCTGAGATTAGGAGAACACTCTTAAAAGGAGTGCTTCTAATCTCAGCTTGTTACCTGTACAAAAGACACCTGTTCACAGAAGCAATCAATCAATCAGATTCCAAACTCTCCACCATGGCCAAGACCAAAGAGCTCTCCAAGGATGTCAGGGACAAGATTGTAGACCTACACAAGGCTGGAATGGGCTACAAGACCATCGCCAAGCAGCTTGGTGAGAAGGTGGCAACAGTTGGTGTGATTATTTGCAAATGGAAGAAACACAAAATAACTGTCAATCTCCCTCAGCCTGGGGCTCCATGCAAGATCTCACCTCGTGGAGTTGCAATGATCATGAGAACGGTGAGGAATCAGCCCAGAACTACACGGGAGGATCTTGTCAATGATCTCAAGGCAGCTGGGACCATAGTCACCAAGAAAACTATTGGTAACACACTACGCCGTGAAGGACTGAAATCCTGCAGCGCCCGCAAGGTCCCCCTGCTCAAGAAAGCACATATACATGCCCGTCTGAAGTTTGCCAATGAACATCTGAATAATTCAGAGGAGAACTGGCTGAAAGTGTTGTGGTCAGATGAGACCAAAATGGAGCTCTTTGGCATCAACTCAACTCGCCGTGTTTGGAGGAGGAGGAATGCTGCCTATGACCCCAAGAACACCATCCTCACCGTCAAACATGGAGGTGGAAACATTATGCTTTGGGGTTGGTTTTCTGCTAAAGGGACAGGACAACTTCACTGCATCAAAGGGATGATGGACGGGGCCATGTACCGTCAAATCTTGGGTGAGAACCTCCTTTGAAAATGGGTCGTGGATGGATATTCCAGCATGACAATGACCCAAAACACACGGCCAAGGCAACAAAGGAGTGGCTCAAGAAGAAGCACATTAAGGTCCTGGAGTGGCCTAGCCAGTCTCCAGACCTTAATCCCATAGAAAATCTGTGGAGGGAGCTGAAGGTTCGAGTTGCCAAACGTCAGCCTCGAAACCTTAATGACTTGGAGAAGATCTGCAAAGAGGAGTGGGACAAAATCCCTCCTGAGATGTGTGCAAACCTGGTGGCCAACTACAAGAAACGTCTGACCTCTGTGATTGCCAACAAGGGTTTTTCCACCAAGTACTAAGTCATGTTTTGCAGAGGGGTCAAACACTTATTTCCCTCATTAAAATGCAAATCAATTTATAACATTTTTGACATGCGTTTTTCTGAATTTCTTTGTTGTTATTCTGTCTCTCACTGCTCAAATAAACCTACCATTAAAATTATAGACTGATCATTTCTTTGTCAGTGGGCAAACGTACAAAATCAGCAGGGGATAAAATACTTTTTTCCCTCATTGTACATTGACTTCAATACAAAACCTAGCAGGGTCATGGTTCTCACCCCCATCCATAGACATACACAGTAATTATGACAACTTCCGGAGGACGTCCTCCAACCTATCATAGCTCTTGCAGCATGAACTGACATGTTGTCCACCCAATCAAAGAATCAGAGAATGAATCTAGTACTGAAAGCGTAAGCTACAACTAGCTAGTGTATAAAATGTGGTGAGTAATTGACTCAAGAGAAAGGACAATAGGGATGTTAGTGTTATCTAGCTTGGTTATGATATCCAACCACACTTGGATCTTCCAAGTCAAGGTAAGCTTTGGTTTTACTAATTTTTGACACCGTGGCCGCCGGTTGAGTGCTCAACATCCACTCGTCTATGACTGCACACTGAATGTTACTGCATATTAGCAGTTTAAACACTGCACTGGTGTTAATTTGTGACATTGACATCACAGATAGGGAAAAAAATATGTGTTGAAGTTTGCTGAACAAATGTATGGTTCTTTCAAGATGGGGAAGAGAGGAGAGATAGAGGAGAAGAGAGAGAAAGATTTGTATTTTTTACCTGTTCATTTCATTACTTAGCTAGCAAATGCAGCTAGCTAGTTTAGCCTGCTCAAACATCCTGCTCAAACAGAAGGATGTTATGTTATCTAGCTGGCTATGACTATCCAACACAACACTGGAACTCTTCCAAGTCAAGGTAAGCTTTTGGTTTTACTAATTTATTGCCACCGGGGCCCGCCGGTGTAAGTGCTAAACTGCTTACTGACTGCACACTGTAATGTTACTGCATGATTGTAGCAGGTTTACTGACGTGTTAGTTCTATTGACTATGACATCACTTTAGCCAATATGGTGACAACAATGTAGGCTGTGTGTAGAGGTTTGGCTTGGAAAGTTTTTTTTGCCTGGTCAAATACAGCTGATGGGTTGTGCATTGAAGTCAACAAACGAAGGGAAAAGGTGAGAGGAGGAGAGTGCATAGAGGCTAGAATGAGTACAACGTGGCTGCTATGAAAGTGAACTGTGTTTATGCCTGATCAGGGGTGTATTCATTTTGCAGATTCTGTTGAAAAACGTTTCTTATAGGGAAGCAAATGGAAGAAAATGGGGATAAACATACCTGAATCTGTCCAATAGAAACTCTTGTTTGCAACTGTTGGACTAATGATTACACCCTATATCAGCTAGATGCAGGCACGGCGGTACTGAACGTGTCACTGTCTGTCCATGTGTCACTGTCTGTCACCTCATATTTGTCTCTCGACCTGTGTGCACCTACGTTGTAAACTTTCATTCATAGGCTAGGTTGTAGCAACCTCCTGATGGGTATAGGGAACATTAGAGTATCATGTAGTAGCCTAAACTTATCGCTGTTACGTTGAACTGGGTGAATGGAATATGAATGACAGTCATCCAATATGCTGTAATAGAAATAAGGCCATGTTCATGAAAATAAAACAATGTCCTCCCTCATCTTAAACAAGCACTAACCGCCACTGGATCCTTTAGTATGTTATGAATGAAACAGATCCTTTAGTATGTTATGAATTAAGCAGATCCTTAAGTATGTTATAAATGAAACAGATCCTTTAGTATGTTATAAATAAAACAGATCCTTTAGTATGTTATAAATGAAACAGAGCCTTTAGAATGTTATAAATGAAACAGATCCTTTAGTATGTTATGAATGAAACAGATCCTTTAGTGTTATAAATCAAAGATCCTTTAGTATGTTATAAATGAAACAGATCCTTTAGAATGTTATACATGAAACAGATCCTTTAGTATGTTATGAATGAAACAGATCCTTTAGTATGTTATAAATGAAACAGATTATTTAGTATGTTATAAATGGAACATATCATTTAGTATGTTATAAATCAAACAGATCATTTAGAATGTTACAAATGAAACTGATCCTTTAGTATGTTATAAATGGAACATATAATTTAGTATGTTATAAATCAAACAGATCATTTAGAATGTTACAAATGAAACCGATCCTTTAGTATGTTATAAATGGAACATATCCTTTAGTATGTTATAAATGGAACATATCATTTAGTGTTATAAATGAGAAATAGTCT